ATGAGATCATATAGTATTTATCTTTCTCTGACTGGCTTATTTCACTTAGAATAATATTCTCCAGGTCCATCCAAGCTGTCACAAAAGATGAGATTTCCTTCCTTTTAATAGCTTAGTATTCCATTATGTAAATGCACCGCAGCTTTTATATCTATTCATCTATTGATGGGCGCTTGGGCTGCTTCTATATCTTGTCTAATGTAAAAAATGTTGCAATGAACATAGGTGTGCACATACTCTATCAAATTAGTGTTCTTGTTTTTTAGGATAAATTCTTAGAAATGGAATTTCTGGGTTAAAACAGTTATATTTTTTAATTTTTTGAGGTAACTCCATACCAGCTGCACCAGTCTGCATTCCCAGGAACAGTACACAAAGGGTTCCCTTTTCTCCACATCTTTGCTAACACTTGTTGTTTGTTGTTTGATTGATGATAGCCATTCTAACAGTTAGTTGTGAGGTAATATCTCATTGTAGCTTTAATGTGCACTTTTCTGATGATTAGTGACATTGAGTATCTTTTCATATTTCTGTTGGCCATCTGTATGTTGTCTTTGGAGAATTGTCTATCAAAATCTTTTGTTCATTTTTTTATTTGATTTTTTTGTTGGTGTTGAATTGTCTGAATTCCTTATAAATTTTAGATATTAATCCCTTATCAAATGTATCATTGGTGAAAATGTTCTCCCATTCAATGCATCGTCTTTTCATTTTGTTGATGGTTTCCTTTGCTGTGCAAAACTTTTTAGTTTGATGTAGTTTAATTTGTTTATTTTTTCCCTTTGTTTCACTTGTCCAAGGAAATTTATCAGAAAAAATATTGCTACACGAAATGTTCAAGATTTTTACTATGTTTTCTTCTAGGATTTTTATGGTTTTGCAACTTATAATTAAGTCTTCATTTTGAGTTTATACTTGAATATGATGTAAGTTGGTGGTCCAGTTTCATTATTTTGCATGTAGCTGTCCAATTTTCCAAACACCATTTATGAAGAGACTATCTTTACCCCATTGTTTATTTTTGCCTCCTTTGGCAAATATTAATTGACCACAGAGGTATGGGTTTCTTTCTGGTCTCTCTATTCTGTTCCATTGATCTATATGGTTTTTCTTAAGCCAGTATCATGCTGTTTTGATTACTATGGCCTTGTAGTATAGTTTGATATCAGATAGTGTAATACCCCCAACTTTGTTCTCCTTTCTTAAGACTGTTGAAGGTATTTGGGGTCTTTTGTGGTTCCATATAAGTTTCTGAAATATTTGTTCTAGATCTGTGAGGTATGCCATTGGTATCTTAGTAGGAACTGCATTGAATTTATAGATTGTTTTGGGTAGTATGGACATTTTAATGATGATAATTCTTCCTATCCATGAACATGGTATATGCTTCCACTTATTTGTATCTTCTTCAATTTCTTCCTTCAGTGTCTTATAATTTCCCAGGTATAGGTTTTTTACCTTCTTGGTTAAATTTATTCCCAGGTACTTTAGGTGTTTTGTTGCAACAGTAAATGGGATTGTTTTCTTCATTCCTCTTTCTGATAGTTTGTTATTGGTGTATAAAAATGCCACCAATTTCTGAAAATTTATTTTGCATCCTGCTACTTTACTGAATTCATCCATCAGTTCCAGTAGTTTTTTGGTGGAGTCTTTAGGGTTTTAGATATACAATATCATGTCATAAGTGAATAATGACTTTTACTTCCCCTTTTCCAATTTGGATGACTTTAATTTCCTCCTCTTGTCTGATTGCTGTACTAGAACTACCAGTAATATGCTGAATAAGAGTGATGAAAGCAGACATCCTTGTCTTTTTTCTGTTCTTAAGAGAAATGCTTTTTAGTTGTCACACATGGTCTTTATTATGTGGAGGTATGATCCTTCTATTTTCACTTTGGTGAGAGTTTTTATCACAAATGGGTGCTGGATTATTATCAAATGCCTTTTCTATATCTATTGATATGACCTTGTGATTTTTATTCTTCATTTTGTTTATGTGGTACATGACATTTATTGACTTGAGGATATTGTATCAACCTTGCAACTCTGAAATAAATCACACTTCATCATGGTGGATGACATTTTTAATATACTACTGACTCTAGTTTGCTAATATTTTGTTGAGGATTTGGCATCTATGTTCTTCAGAAATATTGGCTTATAATTTTCTTCCTTTGTAGTGTCCTTATCTGTTTTTGAAATTAGGATAATGTTGACTCATAAAATGAGCTTGGAAGTCTTTTCTCTTCTTGAATTTTTTGGAATAGTTTGAGAAGGATAGGTTTTAGTTCTTTGAATGTTTGGCAAAATTCATCTTGGGGCCATTCTTGATTCCTCTCAAATCCTACATTCATTGATTTGTGAAATCCATTAGTTTTGTCTTCAAAATATTCCTGGTGCTCACCACTTTCTTCCTCTCCATTGCTCCCTCTTGGGTCAAGCTGCTGTGGTCTAAAATATTGCTATAACCCTTTTAACTAGGGACAGTCCTTCCATCCATGTCTTTCCACAGGCTGGTCCAGCAGCCAGAATGATCTTTCAAATACAAATCTTATCATGTTGCTTCTGTGTGCAAAAGCCAAAGTTCTCACAAGACTCTCCACTCGCCATCCCTTTTCCTTTACTGCCACTGCTCTCCTCACTAGCTCTCTTCCAGTGACTGACCATGAGTCTTGCTCTTCCTTAAATACATCGGGTGTCTGGTCTTGGGCTCTAAACACTGGGGCTCTCTGTCTGGTATGTTCTTTACCTTGTAGCCTCCCAGTCTACTTCAGGGTCTCAACTCAAATGCCATCTTCTCAATATATCTCTATTTACATTACTCACTCAAGAAGTACCAAATCCTCTTAATCTGCTCTATTTTTTAAACAGAATATATTATCTTTCAATATAATGTGTAATTCATTTGTTATGTTTCTAGTTTATTACCTACTTTCTTTTCCTTCCCCCTCCCCACTAGACAGAAGTTTCTGCCTGTTGTGTTCTCTGATGTGTCCCAAGCAGCCAGGGCAGCGCCCAGCATACTGTGCATCATCAATGAATATTTGTTGAGTAAATGAATGAATGGATCTGGATCTCCAATCTTAGGATGGCTATAACTTTGTGGTAGACCTTCAGCATTCTCAAATAAAAAGGGGAATAAAGCAGGAGATGTTATAAGGAGGTGTTGATTAAGGGGTCAGTTGAACAGAAAACTTAGTGACAGGCACTCAGGTGTAGATCAATGGCGTAAGTGTGGGCTGGAGTGAGTTGGGAAGACACAAAAGGATTTTACTGGGAGTTCTTTTTGTTTTGTGTTACATTAGCGAGGACACCCTTTCTTCTTGGCTTAGAGGCCCAGGGCTTAACTTTATAGTCCTGTTTCTGCCATTCCACAGGTTTGGTTCTGAGACGTTTCCCCTTCTCATTTCCCTGCCCTTGCGGCCTCAAGGTCATGGCTCGTTGTCTGGTATGATCAGACAAAATGAGAAATACAGGCCCATACTGCTGGATCATTCAGAGCAGGGAGGAATCTGGAATGAAGTTGTTAGATTTGGGGTATTTTAATCATTTCCTGCAGGTTGGCAGGTTCCAAAAGGGTCAATTTCTAAAAGAACCAGGCAGGGTACATTTGAAGAAATTTCACTGCTTGTGCAGACAGTTTACATATTTGTTCTCCAGATTTGATGTTCCACTGATAGATCCTTGAGATGTACACACTTCTCAGACCTACTCTCTTTGGTCAGGTCAAACTTTTCTGTTGCCTGTACCCATTGCACTGGCTTATATTGCTTTGAAGAAAACTGGTTTGCTTCTAACATGGGATGAAAAGTGTATGGGAGGGGGGGAGAGGCAGGCCTTAGGAGGGAGTGTTGTGTGTCAGGAGGCCCGGCTTCCTGCTCATTTATCTTGCTTGACTTCAGTGCTGCCTGCTCTCTCTCCTCCACCTGTGATTGGGGTTTGTTAAGGACACAAACCCCATTTACTGAGGGGTTCTAACAACACATCTTTCAAAGGCTGGCCAGGAATTAATTGATCATAGCATCTGCCTAAGTTGACCACCAGGTCAAACACATAAGTCTCTAGAATGATCTAACAGAAAAAGCGCATTTGGCTGCAGAATCTGAATATTCAGACAAAAGTTCTTTTGGAAATGCCCCTGTCAGGAGCTGACGTTGGCGTACAGGTTAACCGAGCCCTGACTGCCCTCTGATGGGCTGAGTTCTCGCAACACTGAGAGCAGGCGGGAGCAGCGACACAGGCTGAAGTGTGCCCAACCATAGCCTTGGAACCACCAAACGAGGGCCCAACCCAGAGTCCGTTTCAACTGGTCTGGCATGAGGCCAAGACATCAATATTTTTTAAAAGCTCTCCAGGTGATTTTATGTGCAGCCAGAAATGAAAACTGTCTGACAGCAGGATCCAGAGAAGGGGCATCTGAGGAGCTGGCAGGGAGGACGCAGTCCCTACTGCTGCTTCCCAATCCCTATGCATAGGGCCCCTTCCCCCCCTTTTATGTTTCATCAGTTTTCCATTTTCTCCTGGATTGTTTCCACAACCATATAAAGGAGCTGCAAGTTTTCCCATTCTAAATAAAAGATTTCTTTATACTCTTTATACATCTTTCTTCAGTTACTGCCCATTTTCCTGCTCTCCTTTAGAGAAAAACTCCCTCAGACTAGCCTTCTAGTTTGCTGTCCAATTTCTTTCTGTGCGTTTTCTCCTAAACCCACCCTATCTGGACATCCCCCCTCACTGCTGCAGAGACATTGGCCTGCCTTGCCACCTGGTCATGCCAGTGGGTTCAGGTCTCACCCAGAGTCACAGAAATGGGGAACCTGGAGAAGCCAAACACAGGCATTCTTGATATATTCCAAGGTGCTGCACACCCCTCACCCAGCCCACGGCTGGCCTAGCAGTGTTGGGAGGAAAGCTCAGTGAATGGAACGCAAACCAGACAACTTTCCAGGGAGATGGGAATGACAACAAAGACTTTGGTAAAAGGAAAGGTGATGACTTACACAGTGCGTGGTGGTGATAATGACAGAACTGGAGATGAAAGACAGGCCATCGTTCATGCTGACCTGGAGGGCAGCTTTCCTGCAAAGACAAGGGAACCAGAGACACTCAGCATGGTGTGCACAGGGCCGAGAGCTGGACACATGGGACCCCTGTAGGCTCTCCTCATAATGACCCTTGAGACTGTAGTCTTTTACCCTGGGGGCCTGAGCTGTCTCCTCTGCAAAATGTGGAGCATGGTTTCTAGGGCCCCTCCACCTCTGACATTCCAGGGAGATGTCAGGATACTCTTGGCTGGTATATCAAGGCAGTGCATTCAGGCTTTCTTGCGCTGGAGCAAATTGCACTGACTGGGCAAAGCCTGCTTCCATTTAATTTACTTGTCACACTGTAGTAAGATGAAGGATTCTTTTAAAATGGTCCAAATCAGTGGGACTAAACTGATCAAGCTGTAAACTTAATGCTCTGTTGTTGTTCTCTGGATTCTCAGTGATTTGATTCTGGTGAGGGTAGCTTTGTTACCATCCAGCAAACTCACAGGCATGCAGTAAAAAATGAACTAATTTGCCTTTATCTCCTCTCATCTATGAGACTCACTGGGACAATGCAAATGAGTTTGCATTTCACTTCCATTTTGCAGGATGGGCACAAGGGTACTTAGTGGATTCAGTGGAATCACAGGCTGATGTTAGGCAACCAGAGGTGGAGGCTTACAATTTGAACAAATGATTGGAAGTCAGATGAACCAGTTTAGCATTTTTTCCTTAAAGCCACTATTCTATCTTCAGCCTGTTACAGACATGTTTACTGAGAGGCTAGTTTGTCTTCTCTTGCAAACATTGTTTCTCTGGCTCCCCACATATTTCTTTCTCTGCTTAGGGTGCTCATTCTCTCTCTCTCTCTCTCTCTCTCTGCTGACTATTTTTTCAAATCACATTTCACTAGCACTTATCATTTTTGCACCATCATGACATTTTCCCTGTAAGTTCGTTCCGGGAACCTCCTGCTGTCTGGATGAGTACCGTGTGCTCTGCAGAGGTGCAGAGGAGGCAGCACTGAGTGTGGCCTCTGAAGGTCTAAATCTGGGCCTTAAACCATCTGTGGACCCACTTCGCCTTTCCCAATTTCCTTATCTCTAAATCCCTGGCAGGCAGCTATGATGACAGGGCAAGGTAATGTGAGTGACAGTGCTTTAGAAAGTGTGCAAGCTTTCTGGGAATGTAGCTGTGGTTAAACAAGACAGACTTTGCTTTGAGCTAAAACTTCCACTTACTCCTGTGTGACCTTGGGCAAACTACTCAAATTCTCTTGGCCACAGATTCCATATCTGTAAAACTGGGAGGATGCGAGTAGCTTGTTTGTCGGGAGCTTGGGAAGATGAAGTGAGATACCCTTTGGAAAACATTTATTTCGGTGCCTGGATCACTATAACTATCGTTCATCATCATTCCTTGGAGGAGTCTATAGAAAGGCCCCATTGTAACAATGAAGAGAGACACTTCTTTCTTTTCTCTTTGCTCCCTCTACCTCCTCCCCTAGGTTCAGTTGTTGTTGGGAACTTACATGCCAACTTCTTTTAAGATTGGTGCTGGACAGAGCAAATAAGTATCTTCCACAGCAAAGGGCTTCTCATCTGTAAAAAGGAAGTCACTGGGTTAAGAAGAGCAAGACAAATTTATAATTTCAAATTCAGTGACTCCTAAAGACCATCAGCCAAGACCTGTAAGGCCCTAGAAAAGCAATAACTCTCTGAAATAGAAACTTGTCTTGAGCTGGAAAATTCACTAGAGTGAGCTCAAGGTCGCCTGCCTGAATACTAGTCCCCGACCCTGTACCTGCAGCTGAGTCAATCAGTGAGCAAAGAGAGACTAAGTTCTTACCATAGATCAGACATAGCTGAGAAGAAATAAGAAAATATTAGACTGGTCCTCAGGGAGCTTCAAGTCTAAGTTTAACTTGAGAGAAAAGTCACATTCATAAAAACATTCACTGACAAACACAAGAAGAGACGAAACCAAAATAACACATGGCTCCAGAAGACAGAGAACCCCCTTTAGGTGGATGATGTTGAAAGGTCGTAGAGAACACCAAACTTGGAGCGTGCTTCCAGGGAGAGATGGGAAAGAGGCATTTCTGGTGGGAGGAATGGCATGAGCAAAGACAGAGCAAACCTGAAGTATGTTCCAGGGTAGGACATATATAGGATTTGGTTTAAGTTATTTGAGTTAGACTGAGGGATTTGGGAATCGGTCTATTAGCCATGAAAAGAATGTTGCAGGTTTTTGGAGAAAAGCTTGCTGGGGGCAGGAAGGAGCCCAGATCTTCGGAGAGATAAAAGAGGGCCAACAGGGCTGTTGAATCTGAGTGAGACAATGGCTAAACCTGAGGCTAGAAAAGGCAGCAGGACCAGATGACTGAGGCCTTGTAGGCCACAGTGGAGCTTTGGGGAATTTTTCCTAAAAGCAACAGGAAGCTACTGGAGGTTCCCCTCAAATTTACAATTAGCATTGGCAGATTACGGAATGTGGCCAGAATAGTGAGTGTGTATTGAGTAAAACTGTGACTCTTCACGATGACAGTGGCGGAGGACCCAGTACCTGGACTGACCGTTATATTTTCAAGATGTTTCCTCATCTGTGATAACAATACTGACAGTGATATTCCTTGGGGCAGGCTGTGTGTTGGTGCTCTCTAAGCGCTTCACATATCTCACAAATCAGATTTAACCTTCTAGAGTGCTATCAGAAGAATATTATTTCCCTTCATGTTAAAGACAAGCAACGGACATAGAGAGATGAAGAAACTTGCCCAATGTTACAAAGTGGGGGTCTTGCATCCAAATCCAGGCAGCCTGGTTGCCAGCTCTTGATAAGAGCCCTGCTTTCTCTCCTTCTCACAATGACCTTGTGAACTAGGTCTAATTAACCCTGTTAATTAGGGTTAATTAGGCTCATTTTCCAGATGAAAAATGAAGGCTCAGTGGCAAGAGTGACCCATGGGAACACAGCAAGTCAGGGGCAAAGCCAGGACTAGAACTAAATTCTCCATTATTCTTTGCTTGCCAAGAGCCTCTCCATTCCAGGAAAGGCTTGTATTAAAGAATAAACTGAAACCAGGACAGGCGTGGCTTACTAGAACCTATATTTATTTTCTTTGGGCCATGGCTTATCCTACTTTACATGCAGTAGTAATACCTGGGAGTGTGGATCGCTGCCCATGGAGGCTGCCCATGGACCTGCCCATGGAGCCATGGAGCATCCACAGAGCGGCCACCGCAGGCCTCGCGATTCCTGGCTGCCTTCTGTGGGAAGAGCTGGGTCACACTGTGGAGCTCCCTCCAAGTCAATGCACTGCAGTGACATGCCAGGGACACTCCAGGGCTGAGCACGCCCACATGTTGTGCGTGTACCCAGGCTCACTTCCGGGGCTTTCTCTGCATGGTCCCCTCCCTTCCCTCCATCCCAACTGGAAAGAAGGGAAAGGACGAGGTTGGCCTAGTCAAGGAGACATTTCTCTTTCTGCCTCCTTTTATGTTTCTTTCCTGCCTGGGAGTCTAAATGTTTCTGGAGCGAAGCAGAGGAAAACCTGGCTGGGAGGACTGAGGACTTTGCCGAGGCTGTAGGACAGGCTTGACACAGCCTTCCATCGGTTTATCAGCCTCTGAGGCTGTGGGCCCACTCTGGGGAGCTGGCATTTTCTGCTCAGAGAGGGATTGTTTGGTTTGGAGCCTGTTTTCACTTTACCACAAAAATGAGTGACTTTTTTCCCTCTCTCTCTAAACAAAGGAGGGCCATTTGGTTTCCATAACGCAGATCATCTGACTTCTTCCTGGAACGTCCACTTGGGAAGCAGGGCACAAAGCCCTCCTCCTCGGCTGGGCCATGTTTGGTTCAGGTGCCAGGCCGGCCTCACTGCTACCTCTTCCAAAGCTAGTGGTGCTGGGATGTTTATAGGGCCATGATCCACTCTGAGGATGACCGAGGCCTGAGCTCCTCTGTCCACCAGGCAGCCATTTCCCTGTGCGTTAGCACTGAGTGGGCAGGGGAAACGGGGACCACGAGCTAAGACCAGCCACTTGGCTTGGGTGCAATTGGGAGAAAATTAGGGAGGGGCAGGAGTTTGAAACCAGAAGTTAAGGGAATTTTTAGATGCTGTATAAACATAGATTTCTTTGCCTTTTACCAAAAATATTCAAAATTCAGTGCACACTCACAACAGGTTATTAATCTAAAGCATTTGTCTACAAGAGTCTGATAATCAAAAGGAGCTTGACTTAAATAAGGATTTTGGGGAACAATGAATGCCATTCTGCCAAACTGACAAACATCCCAAGTTTGAGAGCTGGGCATCCCTGAGGGTGACTGCAGAAGGCACAGAGTGGGGCAGGGTAGGCTTCAGAGTCAGGCAGCTCCAGGTTCAAGTCCCAGGTCTTCTTACTAGTGAGTGACTGGGGACAAGCTAGCTCTTCATCTGTAAACTGTCGTAATGACATCATTGCACAGGGCTGTGTGGGGAGTAAATAAGAGCGCATGAAAGTACAGACCGTGGTACTTGGTACTTAATAAACATTCAGTAAATATTATTCCACATTATTACAGGAGCATCCACACCTTTAAAATAGTCTATAGGAACATGCGCTTTAAAGTCTGAGGAATTCAAAATTAAGATTCTCCAAATCTCTGATTGCTTGATTATTTGTTCTGTCAAATTAGCATCTTCTTAGGCATTGCAAATTTCCAGGAAAATAAAAAGTTTTAGTGACTGTGTATGCATACATATACACATACCATACATGCATACATCTATGTCTACAAATTTTGTCTGTATCTATATCCATATCTTTGTCACCTATATCTATACTGATTTTGTCTAACACTACATATCCATGGTCTCATATTTTTTATTATTTACAATTTGGGAAACTCAGTCTCTGAGGAGTTAGTTAATTGAGTCAGTAGTAATGTCAAAACTAGAATGCAAACCCAGGTTTTGTTAAAATGACTTGCCCAAGGTCAACCCAGGTGGGTTGTTTTTTTTTTTTACAGATGTAATTTGAGCTAGTTAGCATTTTGTATTGCCATAATGTCACAGCTTGGTTTATGATGTGGCCTAAAAAACCCTAGAGCTGAGTCTGTTTCTACCTGACCACTTTCGAGGCAAATGGTCAAGAATCTCCAAGGGCGAAGTGGGATAAGAGTAGGAGGCAAGTCTCCCATGAGAGGGGACCAGGGTTTAAAAGCTCTGTGAAGAGGTCCAAGCCTTGATCTGCTATAATGGACCCATGTTCCAGAACCATAGAGTCAAATGTGTACCTCCCCAGGTTGACACCTTGGATCAGTGTCACTCTTTTCAGACTGGTAAAGAAGTTCCCTGAACTCTTCAGTGCAGTTGGTGACTGTCTAATGGATTTGGGATAAAACCAGGATTAAAATTCATTAGCCAATGCAAACACCAATCACAGTGAATCCTTTTATAAGGCTGATTAAATAATTCAAATACTTTCCAAGTCTTGGCAATCTTTTCTTGACATAAATATTTATTTCTGACCAAAAGGAAAAGAAAAATAACCCTTAGTTTTATCTGGGGGAGCTTGTTAAAACCCTCCAAAAACTGATGTAAGCTCCAGAATAGAGTTTACATTCCTACTGTGAACAAAATAGTGGAGGTTAGGGACTACATGAGCTCACCCTGTTTTTTCTGCCCATCTCCCCTGGGTCGAGAGAGCATTTTCACAGCATCCCTGAGCCAAGGATAACTGTTCAGCACCAAATTATCAGCTGCTTTGGGAATGTGTCTCTGAATGAGAACAGACACTCTAGGGTTAGGCTGGATGTTTCTACCTTTTCACTGACTTCAAAAGTAGCCAGCTTTATGAAAAAGTTGGGCTTTTCAAATACTGTACAAAAACCTGAAACAAAATGCTATTCGACAGGACTGCATGTTGGTGAAATTCAAAGCGTCTGGGTTGAGCTCTCTGGAGCCCCAGCCAGAAAAGAGATGGTGGTTTCCCTACTGGCGGTCCTGCAATGACAATTCACAAACATGGAGATTTTACTATAAAGCTAAGAGGGATCCATTGCTTGGAGCAGAAAGAAACTAACACTTATTGGGCATATACTATGTGTCAGGCCCGGGGCTGGAAGGTTTTCAAAGACGGTGAGATAATAAGCCTGTGGATGTTTTCATTAGAAGACATTAAACTCTACATCAGGGGGCAAAGCAGCGAGTTTGAAAGCAGAGAGAGTGACTTCTCTTTGGAAGGGCTAAAGAGTAGTTCTGAGTTTTGAGCAATGAGAAACAAGGTCAAAACAGAATAGGAAGAGATGGCAGTGCCGTGCAGGTGGGTAGGGCCAAGCTGAGCATAATGCTTAGACATAGCGTATCCACTGTAATGTCCTCTCATGCTCAGCTGAAGCCAGAGGGATGCTTTCGTAACATGGCAGGACCAAGCTGGTCACCATCCCTTTCCTTAAACAGGACCCACACCTACCCAGCCCATTCCTGGCCTGGAGTTATTGCCCTCACCGGCTAGTGACTATGAGATTAGGTGATGAGCTTGGCAAGCAGGTTCCAGGTAAGTTCCCTGGCCCATACCTGAGTATTTTACCAATTCCTGTTTGTTACAGGTATCAG